ACTGGCGGCGGTTCGCCGGCCTGGGCCAATGGGGCCAGCACATCCCTCGCCTGCGCCGCTTCCCGCCACCCCCATTGGCCCGGGACGGCGAACCGCGGCCAGTGGGGGCCGCGATCGGCCGAACCTGCCGTGTCAACAGGTAAATAAACTAGCCCAGCCCGCCAGGGTAAGCACCCTGGCGGGCCGGGCCAGTTTATTTACCTGCTGACGCGGCAGGTTCGCCGATTGTGGCCCCCACTGGCCGAAGTTCGCCGTTCCGGGCCAATGGGAAGCTGCGGCCAGCTCATCCCTCGCCCGCGCCGCTTCTCGCCGCCCCCCATTGGCCCGGGACGGCGAACCGCGGCCAGTGGGGGCCGCGATCGGCCGAACCTGCCGCGTCAGCAGGTAAATAAACTGGCCCGGCCCGCCAGGGTGCTTACCCTGACGAGCCGCGTGCCAAACGTTGCTGACCCCTGATCTAGACTGTTCTCGGTGGTACCAGATGACAGAATGAGGAGTAATGGTCTCAAGTTGCAGTGGGGGAGGTTTAGGTTGGATATTAGGAAAAAAAAATTCACTAGGAGGGTGGTGAAGCACTGGAATGGGTTACCTAGGGAGCTGGTAGAATCTCCTTCCTTAGAGGTTTTTAAGATCAGGCTTGACAAATGGCTGGGATGATTTAGCTGGGGTTGGTCCTGCTTTGAGCAGGGGGTTGGACTAGATGACCTCCTGAGGTCCTTTCCAACTCTGATATTCTTTGATTCTATGATTAATTTCAAGTGCGACTGTGAGTCATCTTTTTCTAGTCATGAAAGGCCTTAATCTGAGCTTTTGTGCAAATGGAGTGTTCCCTGTGGTTCCCCATGACTCTTCCATGCAACTCAGTAGGCACAAGTTCTGCACAGTGTTTTATCAATCACCTGTGCAACCACCTGTTGTATCTCAGCTGGGTTTTGCCACTAAATATTCACTTCGGTTAGAATGCTGATTTAAGAAATCTTCCCCTCTATTGACGATATATTACATAGTGGATTGAGTTATTAGTGCTATTGGTGTTAGGGTAGTGACATGCAGGGTATGAATGGGGGATTACATTTGGGGCCTGCTCCTTATAGACCATTGGTTAATAGTACTGGATTTGACCCTAGGCCCACACATTGCAAAGGAGAACCACATTTTAAAGGAACTATAGAGAAATGGCTCCTTCTGACTCAAGCAAGGCTCTGGGCTGATGGGGAATTCTCTCCACACCAGGATATACAAGGACTGCAGAAAGCTGCTCTAGATCATTGAGGGATAACACAGAAGATTTCCCTTTCCCTAGCCCAGTCTGTTCATTTCCCACTTCCCCGTGTGCTGTGATGCAGAAGTTCATCATGGAACTGTGGTAGGAAGCAGCTTTGGGGCCTGACATTCCTTATAGGACAACCTGCACAACCTACTCCCCTGAGGTTAAAATGCATAAATTCACTGGTTTTCAGATATAATGGGAAACAAATGAGTATTTACTTTAATATAGCTATTAAAAAGTCAGGTCAAATATGCCAGGAACCAAACATGACTGAATACCTATCCACAACCCACCCAGATATCTGTATTTCTCTGGGACAGTGTATTTCACAAAGCCCACAATGTAGCCTGTGACCGCTGGATATACTAGAGTCATGGGAGCTACAGAAGCTCTAACCTAGATAAGAGAGGTGCATCTTTTTTCTTTGAAAATGGAGCACAATGAATATTATGGAATGTTACTTTATGGAGTCTCATTCCACAGTAGAACCACACTTTCAATCTGCCTCTTTAAATCTGGGCAACTTTAACTGATATGCCTTGACTTTTGAAGACACTCCATTTTTTGAGAGACCGTGTAACTTGTTTAACTGAGATAGTTACACATTTTATCACCCTCCTTGTATTTTGCGTGCCCTCCATTCCTAACCGCAAAAAATGAGAAAAAGTCATGGAAATGTGTGTGATTTCCTCAGCCAAACGACATAGATTTTGCATACTTTAAATGAGTCTGGACCAATTTAGCCTTCAGATAATTACATAAAACTCCTCTGGGATTTCAGTGTAAGCTGCAGAGCTGTATCTAAGGATGGACATTGGAACTGTCACGTGGCTCTCATTTAAATTACTTGAAAAAATTGTGGAATAGGGCACAAAAGTAACAGCAGAATAGGACCCTTAGAATTTACAGAGATTATGCTATTCTATTTGATGTGCAATCTGCTGCTCTGACTTTTAGTAGAATCCCTTCCTGCCATTGCCAACAAAATCTTTTGAAAGAAAAGAAAGAAAACATGGGGAAAATTAAATGTCAAAATTTCTATTTATCATGTTTCCTAGCCATATGTTACTGACAGCGTTACCAACAAAGATCCTTTTAAAACCTAGCGTGTTACACAGGGTGGTGCAAATTAATAACAACATCCGAAATGACCAAATGGAGGACTCCTGATCTCAGCAAAGAATACAAGAATAAATGGCTAATGAAGAAGCACTGTATTTTTCTGGGCTCAAATTAAAATAAAATAAAATTAATTATATATATATAAATTTTGTTGTCAAAAACAAAACTCTAACCCATTTTAATCTGATTTCTAAAGTTATCTTTTTTTCAATTTAGCCATTAATCTCATCTACCAGCAAAAAATTCACACTTCCCTTAATAGTATAATAAACAGGGGGAACAAAAAGGATGCTGGAAATAGAGGCCCTTTATTAACATAGCGCCAGATTCTGCATGGCCCTGAAACAGCTGCACAGTAGTTTTGGAGGACGTATGCAGTGTATGGGTGGGCTTGACTTAGGTCAGTGAAAAGGCATCAGTTCAGCCTTCTGATCAGTATAGTAATGCAACCACAGCCAGTTACCTGAGGGGAAGAATGTGGCAGAATAACCCAGCCTACGGTGAGTCTGCTCGCTTAAATGGTCTGTGATAGAAAACCTTACCTATCAGGTATTGGGTCTGGGAGGGCAGCATTATGATTCAAGCAGTTTTGATGATGGGAGTCCACATGAACTACAAAGGGAGAATAATAGAATATTTTGCACCTTGGTATCTGCCGGTACCTTAAGAACTTTCCTGAATGATTTAATGAGCAAGGGAATATGTTTATGTGTGGAATTAGTTAGAGATGGAATCCTGGACCCAGATTTGGATGCGGTACTCTGGTCTGGGTAGGTTGATTCATGGAAATAATTTCTCACAGACTGCAAGTATGACTGGAGATTTTCTGAAGTCCAAGGAGGACACGTAGTGTGTGTGTGTGTGTGTGTGTGTGTGTGTGTGTGTGTGTGTGTGTGTGTGTGTGTGTGTGTGTGAGAGAGAGAGGTAATTAAATGAGCTGCTGATTTCATCATTGGGTAGGCAATCTTTGACATTCTGTATGGGACGCAAAAGTGGGAAATTTGTCTTTAGATCCATGCATGGATTTGGAAGGATACTGAGAGGCATCACATGCACAACCAGCGTTTATGCACAAACATTTGTTAAGGATATTAAGGATTAAATCATGTGGAAGAAGACAAAAGGAGATGGGGTGTCTCTGTTTCTCAGATGGGGCCTTAACCGCTACTTAGTGACTGGATCCTGAAATCAGGCTTGCTACGTTAACTGGATTAAGAATCATTTTTTGCCAGGAACTGGACTTTGGCTTCAGCACCTGAAGAGACTATGCAGGGTGAAAGTCAGCTAAGTTATTAAGTTACATGGTTACAATATGTCATCAGTGTTAAAAATCATGAAGCCAGGCCATTTCTGCTTATCACATTCTCTTTGTCCTTTGCTGTGGTAGGTCAAAAACCACTATTATTGATTAATATCTAGGAACTTGTTCGTTGGTACAGTAGAACTTTCAGAGTTGCAGAGCACAGTGTATTTATTTCAGTTGAATGAGAGACTGGCTTGTTCTTCTAATTTTCTTGTAAATCATTGAACGTTAGGGTTTTAGGAGGACAGCAAGTAGCCTACAAATGTAATTCACTGTGTTAGTTTATGGGAAAATAATACTCTGTATGGAGCAAGTGCACTACTGTTAGCCTTATGTTAATCTTGATTTGTGGGATCCCAAGTTCTGCCCTCAAATGACAATACATGGCTTCTAATATTTCTCGGAATCCAAAATGTCCATTTAAGGGCAGAATATGGCCGTACGATATTATTGAAAATGTTTTTTTGTTGTTCTCCAACTTCCTGTTAGTGGTTACTAAATGCAAGTGCTAGGTTTGATAAAAATCAGCTGAGCGGATTGGTTGGTTGAAGCTGTTGCATAGTGACATGGAATAGCTAAACCTTTTTTGTGTTTTTGGAGTACCTGGGTTCCTACATTTAAAAGTTCATTGATTGTGTGAAGGCAAAGCAAATTTAAAAGCAAACAATTTCCTCTAATTAGAGAGGAAAATGTCAAAGCTGGAATATTCTCCATGGATTTTCCATTATCATTAAAACTCCTCATCATTAAATTATACCCCCATTAACTTACTCCCTTCTGTTATTGTTAGTCCTTCTTCTGTGATTGGTTTCCCACAGCCTTTTATAGTACAGGCCTTCACATAGAATTTATACTTGGTGCTGGAGCTCAGATTTGAAAACCTCCAGCTGAAAGTTGAAGGGTTTGTAATATTGACGTCATTCAGTGCTCCAATCTCATCTGTCTCATTTACTGAAAGAGAAACAATAGAGTTCAGTCAGGCATGGCAGCTAAATGTTACCAAAATGCGAATGTGTCAAGAAAGCTGATGGAAAAGATGCAGTTTACAGTAAGTAGGAAGGAGGGCACTTTAAATAAATGTATATCTTACTACCCTGATACATTTGTGAGTCTTCAAATGGGATTTACCATGTCTAAATCAATCAACTACACGATTGGGTATTATGATAGTTGAAAAGGCTCTATGATTCTAGAGGTTTAGTTACTAAAAAAAAAAGGCCTGACTTTTAGAGCTATGCAAAATGTTTGTCTAGAACCCTGAATGCACATTAATTGAGACTGTTCTTGGATTTTCATTTTACTCCCAAACATCTACCTAGGTCCTTAAACTTTGGTAGGCCTGCAGCCATGATGCAAGTTTATGGGGTGCTTGCAGGAAACATAGTAGCTGGCTGCTATATAAGGAATGGCCTCTTGAACACCGATAGTTGGCCCTCTCCAAAAATGGAGAGCATCCAACCCCTATAAAAGTACTACAAAAGTAAGAGTGCAGTTGCCTTAGTAAGGATCAGTGCTGAGCAAAAAGTTCACAGCAAACAATTTCTTGGGCGACGTGTGTTGTATGCCCACTCCATCCTCGGAGTACATTGAATTAATATCCAAACTTACCCCCAGTGTTTGGCTGTACTGGTAACTCATAAACAATAATTCTACATAAACTTTCCTCCCTGAGCTTGGCTTCTCCAGAACCGTATCTGTTCTAGCTCCTTCCGGCCCCAAAGAAACATTTCTATTTCCTTGATATCCTGCTGACACATCATTGGACCCACTTGCTCACATGACTCAGCAGTAATTACCCTGACTCTAAATGTAGGGGTTTTTTTACAAACAGGAGGAGAGCATTTGCTGAATTGAAATCATTAAAAAATCTGAATAAATATTCACCAAAAAAAAAGTTTGCATTATTTGCCCAGCTGTACCAACTATGTGTGTTTAAAGATTCTAAGCCTATGCACATGACTCATGCATCATCATCACAAATTATTTCTTCTTTGAAAAGTCAGGTGCATTTCTAAAAACAGCTATAAATTTTCTCTGCACTATTTAACTATTGGGTTAACTGTCTGTGAATTTGAAAACATTTATTACATGATTTGATTAGTCTGAGAGTCTTTGAATGTATCATGATTGCACTTTGAGCTTATCTAGACGGAAAAAGAATATGCTGAAATCCTTTTCCCCTGGAAAATGGAATTGGCCTGCCCCCAGCAGGCTAAACTAACATCTGTAATTTTGGAACATTTTTTTCTGTGCTGAACAAATTGTTACTTAAAATTTAAAAGGATTAGTTTTACGTTACTGTCTATTTTAAATAACTTTATATTAAAATAATGTTTGATTTAAATAAGATCTATTTGCTAAAAGTCTACATCAAAGTAAAACACGTACTTACTTATCTGATATTGCAAAATGTAGCCAGTAAGGAAGCCATTTGGTTTTCTGGGAAGACCCCATGACAAAGTGACAGAATCCTTATCAAAGTTTAGTATTCTTAGAAAATGTGGCTGTTCGGGGACTGGAAAACATAGGAATTAGCTTAGTTTCACTGAATGTAGATCATATTTTAGCAGCTCAGTCTACATACACTCCTGTTAGTATGGCATATAACTTCATCCAATATGTACAATTCTCCATTCTCAGTCAACATATGTTAGATGCTTAGGATCTGATTCAGCAAGATGCTTGCTAAACACCTTTTGAGAGTCCTCAGCCTTGTTAACTCCCATTTACTGAATAGACTTGGACCCTTCTATTGGATAATTGTATTAAACCCTTTTTTTATTCCAGCATAATAATTTAGAGTCACACAGAGTTCTTAGTAGAATTAATTGGTCTGGTTTCAAGGAAGATGTTTGTTTAATTTCTTCCATCCCCATATTTTAAATTTTTCTTACCTCCTTCTGGAGTTTGGAATATGGTTGGAGAGCTTTCAGGTCCAGCTCCTTTTGCATTGAAAGCCAAAACGGTTAAGTGAAATTCACTAAATGGCTCTAGACCAGGAATCATGCCATAGTTTCTGTCTCCTGTAAATGTTAGGAAGTGTTTGTCTGGGCGATGTTGTTTTCCGTCCAGCAAACTCCTTGTTTTCCACCAAATGACCTGTATTGAGAAGGGCAATTCTGTAACAGATTAAGTTCTATGGGGATGAACACTGCATCAATTTCCCCCAACCTCACAGCAATTACTTTAAACTTAGACAGGATTCACCTAACACGGCATGAAAAGACATCGGATTATTTAAAGAATAAATTATGACAACCTTATATCCTTTTAAGTGTCCACGAACACGGTCTCTTGGAATGCCGGACCAGATCGCTTTAACTAGTGTACTATTCATCACTTCCACCATTACACTTGAAGGAGCAGCATCTGGAACTGTAAATACGTAGGTATTACATACTAAGGATACTCCCTAGGATTTATTTTCAAAGAGTAGCTCTACACCTGTGGTGACATATAGATAGAGTACAGAGTAGCATGCCCAGCTAGCATGGGTACAAATAGAAGCACAGATGGTGAGTACGGTAGAGAGCCCTACGTGCCTGAAATCTGGGGGGCGTGCCCTATACGGGTCTCTACATGCCAAAGCAGTGCCTCTGATGTCTACACTGCTATTTTTAGCAGTGCCGTGTCCCACGGCCTCCCTGTTGTCAGAGCCTTTCCCCACCACAGAGAAAGGCTCCAGCTGCAGGGAGTGCTGAAATCTTTCCCTGCCACAGTGAAAGTCTCTGGCAGAGGGAAAAGACTTTGGCAGCTCTCCGGCGTCTTTCCACACTGCCTCCCCCATGTTGGTGTCTTTTATTGTCACTTGTAGCTACACACTGCAGGCAGTGTGGATGTAGCTTTCCTTTCACTGTGCTGTGTAGTTACATATATCCTACACGCCACACCAAAGGTAGGCAAGCGTAGACAAGTTCATAGTGTCCCCCAGCTACCCAGACTGGTTAAAGTTATAGAGACTCATGCTTTGAAGTCTGGAGATTTCCCCAGTTCAGTTCCAAATGGGGGCCCATCACCTCTGTATCAGTGAGGATAAAAAAAAATTGTGATTAAGATTGTTTTTTTTAAATGAGGAGTTAGAGTTCTTTCTTTAAGCAATTTCTTTTACAATTAAATCAACTGGTTAAATAGCAGGGTTTTAATCACCACAGAACATCAAGAAATCTACTCCAGCATCTGAAATAACTAGACCCAGAGTCAATGCCACATCAGTGGATACAGGATCAGGTCCATAGAAAGCACATTGCAAGTTGCAACTGAACACACACAGAGAAATCTCCCTTTTTACTTACTTTCACTATCTACCAGGTGATATGATGTTCAGTGTTAATATTGTGACCGTGAAAAACCACATGTCCCAACCCCGTACTCACTACCAGGGAGTAAGGGATGATTATTGTTTACTGCCATAAACAGTCTCATTGAGACTTCCAGTAGTAAGTGTTTACAGGGTCAGGCTTTAAATTAACAAACTATCAGAAAAATGAAATATGACAAAAATCACTTGCCATGTAAAAGAGCTCCTTTCCAAACATTAATAACTCATCTACTTAGAACAGGTCATTCAGCGGAATCCGTAAACAAAACCTAATTGAGGGTTAGTTTCTTTGTATAATGTTCATAAGAGTTTCCTTTTTGAGCCTTTTTTTTTTAATGTTTTGATGATGATAATGATGGCTTTTATAGCACCTATTTGGGGCACAGACTAAATTCATGTCAAGAGAGAGTCAGAGTAGAGAGGCTGGAGGAACAGCCCTGGAGTAACATCTATAAAATAATTCAGTTCAGCAGTGGCTAGTGCACAGCATGATGGATTAAAGAAGGATTTTGGTTGTTTGTCCATTTAAATAAGTAATAAAGTAAACAGTTGTCTCAGTTGGCTAATCTCATGCAGGCTTTTTTGTAGGCCATTCAAGCTGTCCATCCATTTTGCTGTTAAGAAAACAACTTGAAGGTTTCAGACATGGGATGAAAACTGCCTGACTTTACATAATAAGATTAAGCTGCAAAATCTGAAACATGTACATTTGTAGACACTTCTAACCCTTGCTTGCCAGCAGTCCTCAGCCCCTGCTGCTAATGACTAATGTATTGGGCATTTGTCATTTGTATCAGGGAATCTTGGCTCCCTGTGCTAGCTGGCTACACTGGTGTTTACTCCCTCATTGATTTAAATCCCTAAATCCTAAAAAGATTTTTTGCTGCTCTTGCTTAACTGGGTTGCCTGCTGAAGGAAATCTTGGCTTTTCATCATTGCAGCCGGGGAATATAAATCCTCCCAATGTCTTTTAAACATTGATTCTATAAACAACGGAGGGAGAAAAAAGATGATATAGTGTCAGGGGGGATTTGAAGGACTATTGTTCAATAGTCTAGATATTGTAGCAGGGACTTCCACAATCTTACAGTAGCCAGAAGCATGTTTGTATTAACTCCACCAGCTTT